CTTACAGTAACCATATAACTAATATTGAAAAGAAAGTTTAAAACAATATATCTTGCTATATGGTACCAAGCAGCTATGAATACCTACTCAGTATTAAGAGAAATAGCATTTAATAAAGATAAAATTAAATTTTGAACACATTTGAAAAAATTATAATTACATTGGATAAAAGTGTTAGTAACTATTGTAAGAAGATCGATGATAATTTTATTTGAAGTACTATTAAAGTGTAAGCTTTCTGCATAATCAGTATGATTTTTCTTTGGTTTGGTTGAATTGATGGTATTTAGTGGTTTGCTTGAATTCCATTTAATACCAGTAAGGAATAATGTGTTGACAATATTGCAGCATGGTTTTCAAATTAAGTTATATAGTTAAGTTAAGGATTCTGTTAATGCCTTGATTCAATTAGAGGTATCTGTTGTAGAGAATATTTTGTTAATCATTCCACATGACAATTCTACTACTTGTCAAATATGGAAAATTGGTTTACAGTTGTTGTCCAGGTGAAGAATTTGATTGATGTTTTTAATAATTAGATTGGTCTCTTCTGAGGCTTCAGGATACTTAAAGACATGTCGAATGTTCTTCATATAAAGTTTACATTTTGGACAGTAAGTATCTGAATATCAGTTAGGATAGTATTGATGAAATATTTGACAAGTTGAAAGGATTCCTAAAGTTAGTTTAACTCTGAATGCTATTAGATTACTATAACTGTTATTGTATGTTTTTTTGATGTCTTTGTTGAATTGGCTAATAACTTTTAATTTGTGTGAAATATGGTGTCATTCAAAAGTTTAAAGAACTGAAGAGCTTTTGCAGATCATATAGTTTCTGGTAATATTAAAGATCTTTTTGCATTATCTGATACTACTGCCCAGGCACAAGTTGTTGATCAAAGGATTTTCTAAAAAATATAGTGAAAGATTGTTCCAATGGATTGTTTTGATTATATACAGTTTAAACTTTGATTTAGTATATATGACTTTAATTAACTTTTGTTTTACAACTTGATTTATCTTTTGAATTAAAAAAGAAATGTTAATCTTTATCATTCTTCTGAATGAGTTGATACAAGTTGAAGAATTTTTCTATTGTTTCTGATTTTAATGGTCTTGTATATAGGACTCCACTAAATAATACCAAGTATTGCAAGCAAGGAGTTGCCAGGAGCCAGACAGGCATTGATAAGTTTTATTTTGCACTTATTGATGATCAAATAATTTTTGTATAATTGAATAAAATAATGTTGATAAGAATTGATCTTTTGAAGTATTAGTTGGAAGGAGAAATTGTTATTAATATTGATTGTTTAAAGAATGTGCTCACTTTCATATAGTATGTGGATAATTTCGTCAATTATATTAAGTAGTTAATATTTGATAGTACTAAAGGGATTGAACAATACTCACAGTGTTGATTCTATTGAGCTTGTAAATATTGCCCAACAAAAGTCATGGAATAGTGTACCGGCTGATCATCCTGAGCATCTGGATAAATAATTGTTTGCATTGATTGTAAAATGTTTTTCTTTAAGTATTGTTCTCTCTTGAATAAGTAATTGTCTTTTATGAATCTTGACTATTATGTTTGAACCATGCACAAATCAAAAAGTTACCTTTGGGTTTGGAATTGGACTGTATGATCCTGTGAGATTCTTATTATTTACAAAGGTTTTAAACCAATTTGGTTCTGAACCAAGATGGATTATACCTATATGTAAGGCAAGTTGGTGTCATATAAGTTTGATAATACTATTAGTCTTCAATAGTTGATTGGTAAACTTTAAATTAAGAGTATTTGTTGTGTTGATTACCATTTTTTTGAATTGGAATTAAAGCTTGATAAAGAGAAAACCGATTGAATTCTCTGTATTGTCATAACTGAACAGATATTTTGTTAGATATATGTGGATTTTGAGATCCTAATAATACTATTTTAATACCAAGTTGATATTAAATTTATTATAAATTGGTACCATTTTAATATTAGTTTGAAATCCTAATTTTAAAGTCTTCAAAAAAGTTAATTAATTATAAAAACTATTAATCAAATTTTTATTCAAATAATAATTACAAATCAATTTTTTATATATGGCAAATTATAAAATTATTATATAACTTAATAAATAAAATCTTTTTTATATTAGACTTTACTAATTAAATTAAAACAATAACAAAATCTTTAATTTAAATATATAATATAATTTGAAAATTATACTATAATATAATCAATACTCTATTATCTATTGGAATTAAATAGAATTTTAACAAATTATCTGAACTAATCAATCTTTTTGAAGTAAAGGAAATATTAATTTACTAATCAAAGTTTTGTCTATTAACATTTTACAAGAAAAAATCATTATTAATATATTTTTTATAATTACTAACTCTTTTATTCAATATAAATATAATTATTTCAAATATATCTATGGTTTAATATTAATATTATTAAATTCTATTTCTTTTTAATATCAAGTAAATATTTATAATTGCTTGATTAAGATATATTGTTTCAAATTTTTTTTTCAATATTAGTCATATGATTACTATAGGCAAGCTAGCATTTAACTTATTGTACCAACATAAGAGAGAGGTTGTTTCTTTAATATATACAAATCAAATAAATTCCTGTATTATTAAAAATAAATATTGTTAAAGAATTCTTTTTATAAAATATTTATATAAGAGTCTAAGGTTTAAATAATAATTATACTGCCTGTTTCTATTATAAAAAAAAATCTTTTTCTTGTAAATAATATACAATATATGTATATTTATTTTAAAGAACGCTAGATTATGTAATACATGTAATAAAAATGTATTCTGCATTTCGTCACAGTTTTCTTCGAATTTAATCAGATTCTCACACTAAATTTTACTTCTTTTTACTCTAATCTATTCTTGTTCTCTAAATTTTTTTTTCAATACAGAAGCAACATAATCAATATAAACGGGTGTACACACGCCAAAAGCACTCTCTCGTATTTAACGTACACAAATTGATGAAATCCCGCTGTAAAAATTATAAATAAACTCTTTCCCTTCTCATCATCATCTTTTTCGATTTTACTGATTAAGAAACAAAAGAAAATAAAGGAAAGTACAAAATACGCAACTTGGGAAGGTTGTGGTAGGTTTCTAAAACCCTGAAAATATAAATGAAGCTTCCTTCCGAATGTTGACGCTGCACCAATTAAGAAAACTCCCAAGAAAAGCTTGTCTTTTAAAGTCAAACGATTCTCCCAAAAATAGATATGACCAATAAAAACACCTATCACAATTATACTTATCCAGAAACCCTCTCTTGATAATGCTATATACACGTTAGGTTCATCACTAATTAAAGCTCGCATTCCCGCCCTTTTATATGAGATTATAATAACGCTTAACAGATAAGCAGAATATATAAAGTAAGTGAATAGCCCAACGACCATGATGGGGTTATACTGATCTTTCAATGCGTTTATCCAAAGGTAGGAAGCAGAAAAGGCGGTAACGGTGAATTCAATAATGAAAATAAAATTAGGAATAATGCTTCCAGTTGCAAGGAGGAGAGTCCATGCTGCGATTCCATAGGCAAGGAATATTGGAAGGACTACAGTAAGGGTGTAATTGTCAATATCTGGTAATGAGATAGGGGGAATTTTGATAGGAAATGCCGAGACAGGCATCGTATATGGAAGATAAAGGAGTAGAACAAGGCATATAGTGAATTGGCTGAGCGTCTTTCTCGACAGAGTTGAATACATAGTGAAGAAATAAATTGAACGCATTTAAAATCGAACTACATACTTCTTTCTTAAATCACGTTATTTGTTACACAAGAGCCATATTACAGTATTTCGTTAAACGAAACTGCTATTATTTCCCCATATACTGAAGATGATCATCATTAAATAGTATTATGAATAAAACTTATTTTTAAATCTATTATATAATACAAAGTTATTGATTAATTCATTAATAATCCAAATTAATAATATCGATAATAAAAAAATTTTTTTTATATTTAACATAATATTATTATTATTTTTTATTTGTTAATAACTTGAAAAAATATAAATTAATAGTAAAATAGTATTTGTTTTCTATATTATTTAATGGATATAACAATTGTTTATTAAAACCATGTTAATGTTATTATTAAAATTTATTATATAAGTATATATAAAAATTTTTTTTAAATTATATATTAAAAATTATAAATATAATTAATTCTTTTTTTGTAGGGATTTTTCAATAGATAAATATTATTTCTTTATTTGATATTGTATATAACAAGATATATATCATGAAAGAAACAACATCTCTTTCATTATTTCAAGAAAGTTAAATGCTAGCTTGCCTACTTATTAATATCTAATCAATATCATAAAAAAATTCAAAATCAATATTAATGTGCTAGATAAGGCTAAGTAGTGGCTATACCTACTATTCTAAAAAAATTTATAAATTCTTTTAATTTTTTAAATATAAAAAATTAAAGAGAAAAATAAAAATAAAAATAACTATAACCAAAACTAAATCAAATATACTATAAGATCTATATATATAATGGAAGAACCTTTGGGCAGACTTATTGTTTCATCTTTTTGATTCTCTGGATGCTATAGATAATAGAGTATACATGATATTGTTTGTTGTTATAGGTGTTGATAATAAGTTAGTTGTTGTTATTGTTGTGATTATTGTTGTGATATAAAACAAGTTTGAGCTTGTTTGATTTGTTTTAATTTATAAATAAAACCTAATTAGATAATTAGAGGGTACTAATTATCTGAAAAAATAAACTGATTTTGATTTTTTGAATAAAAAATTTTTGAAGGTTAAAGATAGTATAACAGATATTGCTATGAAAATATTGTATATAAAAGTTGACTTAAAACAAACAGTAAATTTACTAACTCTGTTTGAGTATATATTTTGAAAAGTATTTGACTTAATAAGTATAATGATAATGATATATATGGTTTTTATAATAGAATAAGAGTAAGAAGGGATACAAGTAAAAATGGGTCCTTAAATTAAAGGTAAGAATGTAATTCAAATGTTCCTTATTATTAAAAAGTTTTTTTAAAAAATATAAGATCCAAAAAAAACTATTTACAAAGGTTTTTTGCAATTTAGGCCACTTGATCCAAATGTTTTTTAAATTATGTCCTTATTAAAATAATAAATAAATAATTATGTTCTTTCAAAAGAGACATAATTGATCTGCGAAATTATATATGCTAAATAATTTAGGAACCTATCCTTAGGTATAAGTGAATTGAAGAAAAGAGAATTATTATAGATTTTTTCTCATGCAATCAAAAAATAAGCAAGACTCCCAAACTTGAGTAAATTTTGACCAGAGGCTCCATTTCATTGCATTAGTTGTCTTGAAGGTTCTTAAGTTTTTAAGCTAGGGCTCACTTGTGATAAAGAAAGTAAAATATTTTTTTTTGTTTAAAATTACTATAAAAGGAAAATTTTTAACAAAATAAATACAATCAAGAAAAAGTTTTAATAATAATTTCTTAAAATATATTTTGATATAACTAATTAATAACAAATAATATAAGAAATATTTAATATTATTATAATTTAAAATACTGTTTTGCAATATTTTAAATTTGATTATTTCATATTATCTATAAAAATATATTTTATTAAATTTTTTTGATAAAAAACTAATTGTCAAATTAGAATATTAATTAAAAAAATTATTTGATTTCTTATTAAAATATTTAATTTATTTTTTATAACAAGTGTTATTAAATCTACATATACTTTATTAAAAAATTTATCAAATAATTTTTTAAAAAATTAAATAAATTTTTTAGTATTATTAAAATATTTTACTAAAGTATTTGAATATTTAAAGATATTTAAAAAGATCTTATTAAAACTTTAAAAAATATTTAAAATCATTTAAAAAAAATAATATATATATATTTATATTTAAGATAAAAGTATAGATTTCTATTAGTTATTTATTAATAAATTTCTTATATCAATAATTATTATAACTATCTGTAGGTCTATAACATAATGGTTAGTGCTCTATAGGTCAGATTATAAGATAATGGTTCAAATTCTCCAGGGGCTAATATGAAACCTCTGAAAAAAACCAAAGAAGAAAAAATCAATATCTTCTGGTCACTATCATAAGATATCAAGTTCAATTTTAGGTGAAGACAATTGAACCATCTCAATAGGATATTTGGTACCATAATTTAATATGCAATATTTCTTATAAAAAGTCAATTTACATGTTAATTTAATGGACATTAAGATTGTGATACCAAGAATAAATGTAGTGGTATAATGATTTTTTAGTAGCAATACAATAATTATTATCAAGTTTGATGCTTTCCCTATTTCTTATACATGAAATATACTTTCTTATCTCTTTAGTTCACAAAACTATAAAAGAAAACTCAATTTTTCAAAAGACCAAGCTAAAGTCATAAAGACTTCTTATTGAATATAACTAGTCCACAACTGATTATATTCGGATATGATTCTTTAAATTTCTATTCATCAAATGGTAGATGGAACTAGAAGGTATACATCCTAATATATTAATACTTTACTTATACAATTAGAATTCTGGTGCTGATAATATAAGAAGAATGGAGGGAAATATGTTGATCAGTAGATAAGATTAATCCAAATCTTAAATAGTTCTACTTATACATGTGGCGTAAATTATTTTGCTGTTGACTCAATTCTCAAAATCCTTAAAAATAATTGTATCATGACTCAATTATTTATATGTTTTAATAGTGACTCAATTAATTGTATCAAATAATTGCATCAATTGTGTCAAGG